CCTAGTTTGCAACTATATTTTACTAAAAATGCCGTGGATTTGATCTTGGCAAAGATCATTTTACTGTGGGAACCTGTGCTGGGAAGGACTGGGCATAAGAAAGCCTGTTTTTAAATCTTCTCCTTTGTATCTCCTCTAAACAAACAGGTCCTTTATTAGTTTAGCCATCTCTTGTCACCATTAATCCTGGGAAAGTCCTTGGCCAGATCTTTTTCTTTTTTCCGTGTTACTACAGGTGACGGTTTTGTGGAGATCTTTTTTACTACCTTTTTAACTTCCAATAACAAATTCCTTACTGTTCTTCCAGGCTCTATAAAGTTTTCCTGAGTTCCTTCAGGCTTCCATTCACTTCATTCTGATGCAAATACCACATACTTCTCTTGTAGTTAGTTATCTGTTGCACCTGAAACCATGTTAAAGCTACTGGCTTAAAACATCCATCGTAATTTCTGCATAGTTGTGTGGGTTGGGAATTCAGGAGGACTTAGGTAGACATTAGCTGGGGCTGCCAAGAGCCCATTGCCAGAATGCCTTTATTCATTACTCTGGAGTTTTGGTGCTCCTTGACTCAGTTTCTCTCCACAGAGTATCTCATTATCTAGGGCCTTTTTCTGCCCCTTCCCTATTACACAACATAGTGGTCTTAGGGTAGTCATACTTCTTACATGATGGTTGGTTTCTAAGCAGGAGCTCTGCAAAGAATGTGTGACAGGAGAGCAAGAATTCCAAGAGACATAGAGGGTTCAGCCCATAAGATCGAATGCTTTTGGCAGTTGTGATTATTATTATTATTATTAAAGCCCTTTGAGGGACTCATTAGACTCCAGGGTAGAGAAATATACCCTGCCTTGTATACTGTAGTGACAGGATCACAGTTCAGAAGAGTGTGGATGTAGGCTGTTCACTTTTAAACACCTTTACAATGTAAACATCTTTGGAAATGTGGCAATTTGCCACGAGCATGCAATTTCATTTTCCCTAAATGGATAATGAGCTGACCCAGGGTGGTTTAGAGCAGTTCTTGCTTTCCCATTTATCTATAAGGTCTACTTCATCAGAGATCGTCTTTCTTACATGTGAGATTGAATGTTTGTTTTCAATTCTCTTTGTTTAGGACTTAGTACCATTCTGCAGGGGACACTGGCAATGTCTGGTGAAAATTTTGGTTGTTATAACAATTGTGTTAGGGGATGCTACTGGCATCCAGAGAAGAGAGGCCAGGGATACTTCCGAGAGTCAGCGGTGGATAGGACAGCCCTATGTCTGGCTCCCAGTGTCATAAAGCTGAGATGAGAAACTAGGGCTTGTGCTGTGAGGCTTGCCCTTCTCTATTATTCTTGTTAGCCTTCATATCCCGTAAGCCAAGTCACCTCACTCTGGTTTAAGAAGGTCTTTATTAGTTTTGTTCCTTTGCATTTCCACATACATTTTACAACCCATTTATCATGTTTGTGCTTGGTTTATTGGTAAAGTACCTACTCAGTAAGTGTGAGACCTTGACTTCAAACCCCAGTTCTCCCCCCCCCTCTCTCTCTCTCTCACACACACACACACACACACACACACACGAAAAACCAAAGACTATAAAAAAAAATCATGTTCATGAAGAACTTTTTATATTGTCATTGGATTTTGATTATCCCTGCAGATCTGCCTGGGAAAAATGGACACTTTATGATATTGAATGTTCTTATTCACCAACATGATAAAGCTGTTTCTTTATGTCTTTCAACAAAATTTAAATATTTCTCATTAAATGGACAAGGTGTTTTGAAACAGGTTCCTACCATCTAACCCAGGCTGGCTTCAAGATCCTTTTGTTGTCAATTCTTGAATTCTGGGATTTCAGGTGTGGGCCACTAAGCACAGTAAAGGGGGTTGGTTCTAAGTCTTTTGTACAAAATGTTTTGTTCTCACAGCCAGTTAGTAAAGCTTTAAAAAAGCAAGGCTCTTAATAAATTGCCATCCTATCTTGCACCTTAATCTCCCACGTGAAATATGTGACATTTGAACTAGCTCGGCTCTAATAGGATTTGTAGCTCCCAGATTAGGTGATTAAAATGTCAGGATTAAATTGGTAACTTTTAATGCTCAAAAATCAAAGTGCCCCACAAGAGGGAGCTCTTCTTCATTCTGTCTCTAGCAAGGTTGGCAGACTGGGGTGAGAACTGATAGTTCACTTGCTAGCCACTAGCTGCAGCTGTGCAAAGAGCTCATCTTCCGGGGGTGGGAGGGAAGTGGGGGGCGCTGGAGAAGAGAGTCATTGGCATCTCTTCAGTTATAGGAAATTCTACTTTGGTCCTAGGAAGATAGTACTTTTGAGTTTGGGGAAAACAGAAATGTAGAAGGAAATTTATAGATCATCCACTTGAGTTCTTGGTAAATGAGTAACATGATTTAGTCTTCTACATTCCACAGGGACAGTTCTGGAACTCAGGCATAAACATTTTAAGCCATAGTTGAAGAAATGGAATTGAGGGAGTGAAAATAGCTTTTGGTGGTGGCAATTGTGTTTAATGTGTAGGGGTGGGGTGGGTGAGGAGGGCTCTAGGGCTTGAATTCAGGGGCCTGGACATTGTTCCTGAGCTTTTTTTGCTCAAAGCTATCACTCTACCACTTCAGCTACAGTTCCACTTCTAGCTCTTTTGGTAGTTAATTGAAGATAGGAATCACATGGACTTTTTTGTCTGCCTGGCTTTGAACTACAACCCTCAGATCTCAGCCTCCTGAATTAGCTAGGATTATACATGTGAGCCACCAGCACCTGGCTGTGCTTAATTTTTGGTGAGTTGAGAGATGTGGATGCTCTGTGAACTGCTGGAGTTGTATGCAGTATTGTATGTGTGTATACATAAATATCACAACTTAGAAGCAGAGCTCTTGTGTGACTGTTAGCTGCTGTGAAATTGTATTGGAGCTGTGCATGGCACTGTGCACCAGCAATCCCAGCACTTGAGAAGCAAATCCAATGTGAGTGTGGTCCTGTCTTTGAAAACAAGTAATAAAAAGAATAAGGAAGCTGGATGGATTTCTGTACGCTAGCTTTTAATTGCTAAATAGGACTGCCTTAAAAAATCCATTTAATTTATATTTTAGACTATCTTGGGAATGCCTACCTTGGTAACTTGATTGCCAGACATTGAAGCTATCTTGCAGTTTATTTATCCTTACTTGATTTAATGATTTCCAGGCCTCATCTTTTTTCCCCAGCTCAAAACTGACTTTTGCAGTGAAGTTCAGTTATTAGATGTTCTTTTCAGAGAAGATGAAGCTCATCTTCTCCATTACTCATCTTTTCTTGTCTCTTGTGACTTCTTAAGTGTGTTTCTGCACAGAGTTTATTATTTGTGATTCTCCTGATTCACCTTGATATAAGAATTTCCTTGAAAACTATAGACATCTAAAAAATCTTTGATTCTGCATTTTCTTGAAGAATGTTTCATTATTGAATTACTTTTCCCCATGGAAATCATGGGCAAGATTTTAAGAGTTTATTTTCTTTTACATTTTCAAACTCAAAGGTCAACCATTTGTTGATTTCTGTGTTAACAGTTAGACCTGGATTTCAATAGTTAGATCTAGATTTCTTGTATTCCGTGTGTGTGTGTGTGTGTGTGTGTGTGTTGTTGTTGTTGTTGCCAGTCCTGGGGCTTGAACTCAGGCTCTGGGCACTTTCCCTAAGCTTTTGTACTCAAGTTTAGTGCTTTACCACTTGAGCCATAGTTCTATTTCTGGCTTTTTGGAGGATAATTGAAGACAAAGGTTTCATGGACTTTCCTGCCCTGGCCAGCTTTAAATCCTCAGATTTCAGCTGCCTGAGTAGCTAGGATAACAGCTATGAGCCATTGGTGCCCAGCTTTCTTGTATTGCTTTTGCAATGAAGTTTTGTGCTTTGGTTTCTTCTGTGGTGTGGGGGATGGAACCCAGGGCCTCCCACATGGTGAGCAAATGCTCAACCACTGAACTACCTACATCGCCACCCCCAGCTCTGCACTGCATTATATTGCAACATTATCCTTTTTTTGATACACTTTCAGAAAAAAGTTCATCTGAGAAGAATACGAATTCAGTGTTTATTCAGTGTTAGTTGTTTATCTGGTATTGTGTAGTCCAGTTTTAAAAGTCAGGTGATTTTCTGTCTTAATCTAAGGAGTGAGTGTTAACACACAAGAGGACTAGGAACAGTAAAGGCATACTGAAAGGCAGAATAGAGACACTGGGCAGCTTTCTAGATCCTTCAAGATACATTTCTAAACTGGTACTTCAATCTCTGTGTAATGTATTGATTATTCAAGAGAAGGAAGATTCATGTTTACTAGAAATATCTATAAAAGTGAATATTAAGTGCTGGGGTATAAGCTCAGTGGCTGAGTACTTGCCTAGCATGTGCAATGGTCTACGATTTACAGCCTTGCAAGAAAAACAAAAGTTAAAAGTGAACATTAGGCCAAATACATTATGTGTTCATATACTTGGTCTTAACAAATAATATTGAAGAATTCTCTATCAATGAGTTCTGTTTAGAGTTTATCATCTGTAAATTTCTGCTGGCCTTGAAAAAATTTCATATTTAGTAAACAAAAGGCCTCTCATACTATTAATCACATTTTTAGAGTTTAGTGTGGTGGTATACTTGTAGTCCTAATTCACAAGGAGGCTGAGACAGAAGAAAGATCACTTGAGTCCAGGAATTTTGACTATCAAACCTCCATTTTTTAAAAAACAAAACAAAATCAAATAACAAATGGTTCATGTATTTGATAACCAGAAAAAACGAAATCAAATAATGTTTTACATATTTGATAACTCTTTTTCTCTGTAAATGGTATTTGATGGACATTTGATGGACATAATAAATGAACATTTTATAATTATTTTTTAATACATCTATCCATGTGGAATAATTTAATGAAACAGGAGCTCATTTCTTACATGAATTGTTGAAATACCTGTGTTTCTTCATTGCCTAAAATAATAGAACATTTCTTCTTGGCTTTTAGATTTCCTCCTTCCTCACCTCTGAAACCATATCCCAAAAAGCCCCCATACCAAAAGGATGTTATTAAATTTCCAGAATGGAATGACCCCCCACCAGGCACTTCACAGGAGAACATCCCAGTGAGGCCCATTGTGATGGTAAGTGCAGAGACAAAAACCAAAGGCCCACAGCAGGAGGAACCATCTGGTAACCCACAGCTTGGTCTTTTTTCTATTGGTCCCTTATCCACAATAGTCTGGAAGTTCTGTAAAACAGTAGCAAACACACCTGTCAACAGCTGAGAGATCAGTTAACAAAGAAAGATTGATTGGCTCCTGCAGTTTTTACTCTTGCCTGCTGACATTTTGATGGGATATAGCTGGTATTGGTCATCACTTGTTCAGTCAGATGAGCTTTCTGTTAAATCTCCTTTGTAATTGCCTTTTCCTGACTGTTCTGTATTTACTTCTCCTTTTTGTTTTCTCTTAAGCTTTGTTATAATTAGTGTCAGCTGTGAGAGGGTGGGGCATGGTATATTGTGTAGTGGCCCCTGACAAAATATACAGATGAAAGTGGGTTCTTCTGGTGTTGGAAAACTTGAGTTCACTTGAAGTGTACTATCTCTATATAGCTGAGGATCTCTTTGATGTAGAGATCCTCCTATCTCTGCCTCCTGGGTGATGGGATTCATCATTCCTTGTTGGAAGAAAAACTTAATATCCAGCCCAGGGCCTTGAACATGCTAGGTATTCTACTACTTGAGCCATGTCCCTAGCATGAAAAAAAAATGTTTTGTAAGGCCATTCTAAGGAATTTTTCTAAAGCTAATGTTTTAAGATAAATTTGTTTTCGTAAGACAGAATATCCAAAAGTGGAATGTAAGCTTCAAGAGATCAGGTACATTTTTTTGAACATTGTGAACATTGTATCAACACCTAGTATGGTTCTACAAATAGAGTTGTTATTCAGTAAACATTTTCACTATAAAGTCAACTCCACTGTTTTGGATAGTCAGTCTTTGTTTTATGATGAAGTCAATTTTAAGTAATATAAAAAAAAGAATGAAAAAGTTTTAACGAGATTGTATTATGTCTCAGTATGGAGAGAATAGTTAACATGCTTAGATGACTTGAGAAATAATGACATCAAGGACAGAGGTCAGAGATGGTCATGAACTTGGTTTAAATTTGATGGTAATGGTGGCTTATACTGAGTGGGTGTCTTTAACAGTAAAATGGAACTAAGGGGACAGATTTTATTTAGAAGTACTAAACTATAAAAACTTGTTGGGTGTTCTTGTATGACAAGCATTGTTCTAGAATCTATAGAGACAGTAATATGTGACACAAATTTTATTCTAAAAGGCTCAGAACCTAGTGAAGCATAGAATAGAAATAAACACTTAGAAAACAATTACCTGCATGCTGTTTGAAGACGTTATTTCTAATGACAGTATTTAATTAATGACTCGGTGGTAGAAAAGCTCCAAGAGATCATGTACATTGTTTGAACATTGTATTAACACCTAGTATAACTGTGTAAGCAAAGTTGTTATTCAGTAGACATTTTGCATTATAAAATCATCTCCAGGGTTGTTTATACAAGAAATAAAACACATATTAAATGTGTTTTTATGCCATTGATAAAATGGCTTCCATTCTCTGTTCTCCTGGGTTCTCAGTGTCCACACCCAAAGACCAAATGTTTATTAACACTCCTCAATCTACTGTTCTAGGCTTTGTTCCAATGACAGTTTCTTCTATGTCCAGTTTCAATATTTTCAGGAGGCCTAAAGTGGGGCCAGAGTCCTAGATTGAGTGATGTCTTGAGCCTTTAAATCTTCAGTCTCTTCTGTATCTGCATGAGTATTTTTTTATTACGTAATTCTTGCCTTGACTTTTCTTGTACCTCTCTTTCATACATGTAGCAGGGCATTTGCTTTCTATTGGCATGTCACCACAAAACTAGATTTCCTGCTTCTGGAGCCCTGTCCTAAGGAAGAATGGTGGAACTGGATCTATTCCTCATGGGGGCCTTGATACAGAGTTTAGAATGACAAGGTCAATGATCATCAAATAAGCAGTTCATCTTTCTTAAAAACTTGGACTTGTCATTCCTTTCTACTATTTTTCTTTTTCTTTCTATTTTTTCCCAGTTTACTCATTTTTGTTTTGTTTTGTCCTATTTTGTCTTGTTATAAAATAATAAAAATAAAATAGAGCCAATACAATTATTTGTTGTATTTGCTATGGGGACAAATAAACAGTTATAATAGGAATAGGAAGAGAGGCCTCTGGAGCCAGACTGCTGGATTTGAATCTTGACTTTACTCATTACTGGTCACTTGAACCTGTTTCCTTACTTCTTTATTTCTTCTTTCATCCTTACTTCTTTATTTCACCTGTTTGTGTCTAAAGTTTTCATATCAGTGAAAGTAGGAAAATACTACCTTAGCAGTAGGGTTGCCACGAGAAGCAAGAGAGGCCTTAGGTATAAAGTGCTGAGAATAGATCTTGGCGTCCAGGCTCTCAGTAACTTTGGAGCCCTGTTGCTGTTATTAATTTATTGTATAGAGTTGTTTTTAGGCAGAGAAAAATAAAATGAACTATCCATCATACTATCCCTGTAGCTGAATCATGATTATCAACAGTTCACTTGTGTCCTTGTTTTCCATATATGTTTCTAACCCACAATGAGGTTGGGCTAGCAGTGTTTGGAGCTTATGTTTTTCATTTAGAACTGTCGGTGATGCCTGTTTCTCATGTTATTAAACTTCTGACTTCATATTAGTGTCTGTATCATTAAACATCTGACTTCATATTAGTGCCTGTATCAAATATAAAAGTGATGTGTTTTATTTCCCAGTCTTTACTGGTAGGTTTCCTGTTTTTCAGCACATGAACAATGTCCTAAGCAGTACCTTCACAATATAGTCATTATATTGTTTTGGAATACCTTTGGAAGTAGCTTGCTAGGCCCACATAACAGTATATTTTCAAAAACAAACACCAAGTTTACATGCTTAAAAACTCACACATCCATCTGTCCTTTGAATTTCTTTTGTAATTCAGTGGTTCTTTAAACACCAAAGCAAAACTAAAAAACCTAATGAAAAAATAACTCACCTTTTTTTTTTTTGCCAAAAGTTTTCATAGGAACTCTTTGTCAATGACTTCTAATAGGTTTGCTTCTAAAGGTCAAATTTCTCTGTGATTACCCAAAGAACATTTTAAGACTTAAATAATGTGATACACAAGCTATAAAATACGAAGGGAGCCTGTCATTGTTGTTTGGGGCAAAGCTGTTTATTAGCTTTTCTCCTTCCCAGGAATCATGGGCTGTCAATCACCCTTAGCTATCCTATGGGGTAATTTGTCCTGCTGAAGGTAGCCAGGATTGGGCTGCTTTCCAACACTGTGCTTATTTAATACTCTACACAGCTAAGAAGAATGAGGGAAGCTTCGGTGTGTAGGGGAGGGATGGATAAGAATGTGGAAAGGGATGACATTGATCAAGATGTATTATATTAATAATCTGCTTTGTTAAATAGCAACTCCTTTGTACAGCTACTTATGGATAATAAAAAGCAAATAACAAAATAAAAAAGGGAGAGAATTCTTAAAAGTAAACCACTTTGGGGCTGGGAAGGTGGCTTAGTGGTAAGAGTGCTTGCCTTGCATGCATGAGGCCCTGGGTTCTATTCCTCAGCACCACATAAGCAGAAAAAGCCAGAAATGGTGCTGTGGCTCAAGTGGTATAGCGCTAGCCTTGAGCTGAAGAGCTGAGGGACAGTGCCCAAGCTCAGAGATCAGGCCCTACAGCCCACAACAAAAATAAATAAACATTTGAATTTTACTTTAATCACTGTACTTGGACAATGTGAATTTAAATACATACTTCTCAACTTAATTTTGAGTTAAGAGAATTTTATCCCAATGACACCTTACTGATTATTTGGAATGCACAAAGGACATATTAGCCATATAATGTTATACTTATTGCCTTAGCTATTTTGTAGTTCATGAATATATGTTTTATAACATGACCTAATCTTAAGAATCGTCTCTACTTCTCTGGAGTCCATGCAAAGAAAGTTAGTTGGTAATTCTAGTTATTAAAGTCAAATTAGAGACAGCCAAATCAAAGACATTGCTTATAAAACCATTATATTGAAATATTGTTTTCTTTTCCTATCTGTTACCCTTTCATCCCTTCTTCTCACTCCCTTGCCCCACCAGAATTCTGAGATGTGGTTCAAACGTCACAGCATTGCCATCGGAGAGGTGCCTGCCTGCCGTCTGGTCTACCGCAGACAGCTGACTGAGGCCAACGTGGAAGAGATATGGAAGTCTATGACATTATCATAGTATGTACCTTAAATATTATATTTTAGAAATTCTTTTTGTTCTATTTTGCCTCTTCTCTCTGCATAATTTTCTGAAATTGTGTTTTAAAACCTCAAATTGTGTAATTTGTACCTCTGCTATTTAGCAAGTGTAATTGAACTGAATTCTGTGAATTTTTTGTTGTCATTCACTTGTTAAAAAAGGAATTTAAAAAGTTGTTAAACTTTTTTGGGTCTTTTTTTGTTGTTGTTTTGGTTGCTGCTTTTTATTTATTTTTGAGACAAGGTCTTACTTTGTAGCCCAGATTGTCGAACTCTAGTGATCTTCCTGCCTCAGCCACTTGCACGTGGGGAGATTACAGGCATTGCCACCATATCCAGCTGAGAATTCCTCAACTTTCAACTAACACAAAAATCTTGGGATTAAACCCAAAGATTCATATGGAACGATAAAATACCCTGAATGGCAAAACTATCCTTAACAGAAAGAGCAGTGCTGGAGGAATATCAATACCAAATTTCAAACTCTACTACAAAGCCATAGTAATCAAAGCAGCTAGGTATTGGCACAAGAACAGAGTTGAGGACCAATGGAATTGAACTGAAGACCCAGAAATGAACCCACCAACCTAGAACCACCTAATCTTCGATAAGGGAGCTAAAAAAATAGAATGTAAGAAAGACAGCCTCTTCAGTAAATGGTGTTGGCAAAATTGGTTAAACATCCTTAGAAAACTGAAGCGAGATCTTTATCTATCACTCTGCACCAGAATCAACTCCAAATGGATCAAAGACCTTGGAGTCAAAGCAGACACCCTGAAAACATTACAGGACTAGGGGAAACTTGAGGGCTCTTTGGCACAGGCCAAAATTTTTTTAATAAAGACTCAGAAACGCAACAAATCAAAGAAAGGTTGGACAAATGGGAATGCATGAAACTGCAGAATTTCTGCATGGCAAAGGACATAGCTAGCAAGATCAATAGAAAACTTACAGACTGGGAGAATATCTTCATTAGCCGTACGACAGACAAGGGTCTCATATCTAAAATATACTTAGAACTCAAAAAATTAACTCCCCCAAAAACAAATCCTTAAAGAAACAACTGCCCTATAAATAAGTGGGCTAAATACAGAGAAATTTCTCTGAAGAGGAAATAAGAATGGCCAATAGACACATGAAGAAATACTCAACTTCTCTAGCCATAAAAAAATGCAAATCAAAACAACATTGAGATTCTACCTCACTCCAGTTAGAATGGCTATAATCAAGAAATCTAATAACAACAGATGCTGAAGGGGATGTGCCAAAAGGGAACTCTACTTCATTGTTGGTGGGAGTGTAAACTTGTTCAACCATGGAAAGCAGTATGGAGGTTCCTCAAATGACTACACATAGAGCTCCCCTATGACCCAGCAACCTACTTTTGGGTATTTACCCAAATGTTCACAAACAAGGCCATACTAAAGCTACCAGCACAACTATGTTTATCACAGCATTATTTACCATAGCTAAGATATGGAACCAACCCAGATGCCCCTCAGTAGATGAATGGATCAAGAAAATGTAATATACATATATATATATATATATATATATATATATATATATATATATATGAATTCTATGCCTCCATCAGAAAGAATGATATCACCCCATTTGTTAGGAAATGGAAAGACTTGGAAAAAATTATAATAAGTGAAGTAAGCCAGGCCCAAAGAAACAAAGGTCCTATGGTTTCCCTTATTTGCAATAACTAGTATAAGTCTAGGACAAACAGAAAAGGTCAAAAGCTATGTACATATGACCAGATAAGATGATGTGTGAAATGAACCCCGATAGGGACACAAGTGGTTTTTTATTTCTTACTATTGTTTTTTTTTTAACATATTTAAAATGTACTGTGTGATTTTTTTGTTTCTCTTGTATGTTCTTCCCCCACGGTATAGCCCCTATTTTCACTGTATTTGATGTCGGTGCCCTGCATCTTGTATATACATTTTCTAATTTGGGGAGGGGAAGGAAATAACAAAATGCTTAAATAAGGATATAGGTTAATCCATTATAACAAGAGATGTACAAGACACTATGTTGAAAATGAACTTTACAGCTTGGGGGGGCGGTGAGTGGGGAGGGAAGAGTTGGGGAGGTGGGGAGGGAAGGGATGGTAGGGGAAAAACAAAGGAGGAGATAACAATGCTCGACAGGAAATGTACTAATTACTTTACTCATGTAACTGTGACCCCTCTGTACAGTATTTTTACAATAAAAAACATTAAAAAATTTAAATAAAAATTTTGGGCTGTCTTGGGCATCTGAGGTAATATGTGTAAAATTAAAGTTAACAATATTGCAGTAACTCTTTTGTTCATGGAGATGTACTAGGACCATTTTTTCACCATTAAATAAGTTAGTTTTTTGTTCTTACAATATTTTTATTTATAAAAGTATTTGCTTAGAATTTAGGGTATTATATTATAAAGTAATTGAAATATATTAAGGGTAAAAATACCTTTTAAAGTTTTTCATCATAATCCATTTGTAATCTTTTGCCTATAAAGGTTGGGTAAAATGCATAAACTAATGCATCTTAAAGATTGATTTTCACATGCAAATAATGGTTTCTAAAGTAATTAATTTACTTATATTTATCTTTTTAGTTTACAGAAAATCCTTGGCTTAGATTCCTTAGAAGAAATTTTAGACATCAAACTTGTCAACTCGAAGTTCATCATCCATAATGTATATAGCGTTAGCAAGCAGGGAGTTGTTATCCTTGATGACAAGTCAAGTAAGTGCATGAAACTGTTTGTTCTTGGTTGACCCAACACATGCTGCACAGATCAGCTAGCAATTCCTATTTGGCTTTTTCCTAACCATAGAGAAGTTTTACTCCATCATTACATACATCCTTTGACATCCTAGTGCCTTTTAAAAATGTTTAGACTAAGGAAATGTCAGAAGAAAATGATTTCTATGAGAATGAAAACCTTAGCAAGATGCACTTAGCAACTAGTTTATTGCTAACCCCCCTAGGCATTAAGTGGTTACATAATATCCACATGAAAAGCTCTGGGAGTTTTCTTGGGGTCTGGTTACATTTAAGCTTTTACCTAATCCTTTCATGATGATGTTTCTATGTTACATTAAGTCTTGATTTATATCTTTTTTCCTATTATTATTATTGTTATTGTTATTGCCAGTTCCCATGTTTGAACTTTTGTTTGGCTTGCTCAGCTGGAGTGCTACTGGTTGAGCCACACTTTCTGCCAGGGTTTTATTTGGTTATTTTTGGAGATGGAGTCTGGAGGACTTTTCTGCCTGAGTTGGCAATTCCCTGGATCTCTGTCTTCTAAGTAGCTAAATTACAGGCACCAGCTATCAGCAATTGGCTCTTTTTTACAGAATTCTTTTTAATATGATAGGTCTTTAAATGCTAAGGCTCCTATAATTTTTTCTCTAAGTCTGCTTACAAATCAGAAAGAGAAAAGATATTTAGTTGTCATCTAACCTAGTTTTTGTCTTTGTTTTGTGTGCCAGTTCTAGGGCTTGAACTCAGGGTCTGGATACTGTCTGTTAGCCTTTTGGTTCAAGACTAGCCCTCTGCCAATTTAGCTACAGCTCCACTTCAGCCTTTTTGCTAGTTAATTGGAGATTACAGTATGATGGTCCTTCCTCTCCAGGCTGGCTTCAAATAATCCTAAGGTCTCAGCCTCCTGAATAGGATGATAGGTATGAGTCAATGGCCCCTGGCCCTAACCTAGTTTATTCATGGTACCTATAAAGGGCCACAATGCCCACACTGATTTTAAAACTTCTTTCTATGAGTAAGGGTTACCAAAATTGGATGGACTCTTTGATTTGTTCTTTTAGTATAAATCCTTGATGCTAAAAATTGGCTGAACTAAATGACCTTTGATATGAGAAACTAGACTAATACTTTCTGGGTTTAAAAAAACTATTATTAAATTCAGGGCTAGAGGATCCCAGGTAGTAGACAGAGTGTACCAGAAGGAGCCTGAGCATGTGAGAGAGATGTTTTTCTAGGCCATGTCTTCTGACAGAAGCAGAGCCTGCCTTTGAAAGTGGAAACCCTTCTCCTTTCATAGCCCCTGAATCAGGAATAGAGGTTACTGTGAGACAGAACTTCTTGAGCAGTGGGGTTCAACATGAAACATTAAGTTCCAGAGAATAAAGGGGTAGGATAGTCTTTGAAACACATCCATGTCCTTCCATATTCTCTGAGTATAGCAGGTAAATACTGTTAGTTATTCCTGAGATGACCAGTCATATTTAGTTTTATTAAAGTCTTCTGAAGGAAGAGGGGATTTTTACAGCATTCATGCTGATTAGATATAGCTCAATTAGACAGAAAGTAAAGATAACGTGGAAGTACAAGACTGGCCCATCTTGTCAGTATCTGTGGCCAGGCCAAGAGGGGACAGACTGCATTCAATAATTCAGCTTGGTGTTTTTATAGCAATATGGCTTATTCTAAGGCTGTCCTACTACAAGTTTGCTTGTTGATTTTTTTTTCCTTCTGGAAAACCATATTTTTTATTTTTACTGACACTTTTAAAGATACTTCTTGTCTTTAGAGAAATTTGTTGGCACGATTTATATAAGCACAAGTTATAATGCTACTGCTAAGAAATGATTTCTGTCTTTTAAATGTTCGAATTCATAGATTAGTGGTATGTTTCCTATTACTTGGGCCGAATGTACATTGTTATAATACCAACTATGGGTAGAACTCCCTGACTTGTATAGAATTGAATGGCCGATCTTCTTATTCTCATTTCTCCTACAGGAGAACTTCCTCATTGGGTACTGTCAGCCATGAAGTGTTTGGCCAATTGTAAGTATTAATTATCTTCCTGTTTCATGAAATTAACAGAAATTAATGCCCAGAGTTAGAACATAGTTTTTCTCAGTGACCTGTGCACTAATTTGATACGTGGGAACGGGCAGTTAATTGCTTTGGAACCCTTGTGCTTTTAGTGATACATTTGCAATTCAGTGAAAGGTCTGAGTTATAGAAGAATTTTAAATGCATTTCGTCCTTCTGTGTTTCATAGATATTATCACACTATAGTTAAGTTTATGCTGCTTCTGGTGAAAGAAATAACTGATAGTTCATCTAATAGAGAAACAGATGCCTGTTAACAGAATATAGATATTTCATTCCTAAAACTGCTGACTTGTGTTGCTAAAACATATATTGCAGTGCCCACAGAGTTTGCATCATCAGTTTGTCTAGTAGTTTCTATCTATTTGCTCCTCATTAGGGGCTGGCCCAACTGATATGCAGTATGCTCTGCAGAAAAACAAAAAAAGACATGGCTCAAGAATTTGGCTGCCAAGACATGGAAGCATGGACCAGGGTGATGGTCCTACGAGGACTTCCATAGGCATATGAAATCCATCTCAAGAATGTGACATCCATTTTAGTGTCTATCATTGCCCTGTGGATAAATAGGCTATTAGAGAATCTTACTAACAATATCGTTTTCTTGGGATTTTTGAGACACTTAACCCAAGGAAGGGATTGTGAAGTTTAATGACTTTACACTAGCAAGTGGTTTTTATGACTTCGTTACTTTTGTTGGTTGATAATTGGGGATATTCGAGCTTAGAGGGGTGTGTGAATCTCACAGATATTCCAGAACACTATTTTCTTTCTTTACTTTTGGGCAGGACTAGTATGGACAGAGAGAGGTGTATAAGTTCTTGCATTAGTGGACCCTGAATTATTTATTTCACTGGAGTACATGGTTTGATTATAGGTTGGAAGTAACTACTATGTTAATGTGGATGATCTTAGTGATTCTGTGTTGAAAATGATTTATATGCAGTATGAACATGCACAGCAACATTCGTTTGTATGAAACCCAAAGTTTTCTTGGTTTAACTAATTAAAAGTTTCATTGGTGTTTGGTTTAATATTTTGGAAATTATGATATGTAAATGATAGTACTGTGGTTTTAGCTTGGGGAAGTGCTTTTCATTCTTCTTGCTCAGCCTTTTGAAGTGAATTAAATTGAAGTTTTATCTTTGGCCAGTGTTGGCAATAAGGAGTTAGAAGGTATAAATGGGAAGTTAAATTACTCATTTCTGAACTCCTGGCACATGAAAGATTTGGAAGTTGATCATATGGGAATGTACGTAGGAGGCTGGCATAACAGGTCTATGCTGTAATGGGCTGTAAAGCATATTAAGGTAAATTTGTGATGTTGAATTTTCAATGATGACCAAAATCAGTGAAGAATTTAATTTTCCTTCAAGCAAGATCTACATACAAAGCCATAAAACTTCCAATGAAAGGTTAGAACTGACTTAATCATAGAGAAGAAAGATATGAAACACAATTTAGTAGTGTTTTTTCTGTATGTCAGGTAGAGAATTTGCATTACATATATCAAGATAGATATTTCATGATGGATTAGCATATCTATCCATAAAGAGGTTTATTTTTGTATCAAAGAATAAAAGGTAGCCAAAGAGAGGGTCAGCCTGTTGGATAGCTTTATAAAGTCTCTAGATTTTACTAATTCTAATTAAAATTGGCTTCAAAGTTATGACCTGTGCCTTGTCCTTTTATCTTCAGTAAGTTGAGATTCCCACTGCACTCATCTAAAAGGGAACAGACAGGATAGGCTCCATTGACTTTGAAGCCTGATTGCTTCCTTTTCTGTAGGTATGCTACTTAACTTTTCTCTTTAAGGCCCATTTACCATTTTTATAGAACATGTGCATATGGGCCTGGATTTTAGTTGTTGGCTACTTTGTTCATGGCTGTCCACAGAAAGAGGGACTGATACTAAAGAAATATAAAACCAGGCTAAGGTGGGCGCTGGTGGTTCATGCCTGTAATCCTTGCTACTCAGGAGGCTGAGCATTGAGAATGTGGTTCAAAGTCAGCCTGGGCAGGAAAGTCTATAAGACTCTTATCTTTAATTAACCACCAGAAAACTGAAGTGGCACTGTGGCCCAAAGTAGTAGAATACAAGCCTTGAGTTGAAAGAGCTCAGGAACAGTGCCCAGACCCTGAGTTCAAGCCCCACGACCGACAAAAAACAGAACAAAACAAAAAACCGACTCACTGGTTTTTCCCTTCTTTGTGCATGTGGGTCACAACTTAAGCAAAAATTGAACCCAAACCAAAAATCAAAGTATTTATTTTCCAGAGTTATTATGAATATAATTTGTAAAAAGCTAGGATAAAGAAAATAGTTTTCAAATTAATGGTGGTTCAGAAAGAAAATCCATAAAATGTGGCCTCTGCTTCTCTTAGAGGGGGAAACTATTGCTTTTGTTGTTCTTGTACATACAAACACACACACACACACACACACACACCCCTAATGAGATTTGTAAACAGAAATCTGATGTACACACACACACACACACACACACACACACACACACACACTACTGGGATTTGAAAACAAATCTGATACACACACACACAAACACACACACACTCTAATGGGGATTTGAAAACAGAAATCTGATGTCCTTTTGGGGAATGAGAAATTAAGAAATAAGGAGCAAGGTTCAAAGCCAGTCTGGACTGGAGGTGGAGCTGTGACATAAGAGGTAGAGCACTAGTCCTGAGGAAAAAAAGCGCAGAGAGAGTGCCCAGCCCCTGAGTTCAAGTCCTAGAACTGGCATTTAAAAAAAAAAAGAAATCATCAAACGAACAGTAGATTTCTTTTAATGTGGAAGGAGTTCAGAGCTTTTCTTTTCTTCATTGCACAATAGATTTCAACTAGACATGAAGTTACTTTTGTGTAAGCAAAGTGTATGTCAAATCTTCAAATCAAAAGTTTTCTGTGTATTTTAAATATCTGCATATTCAAATCTTTATATACCACACATGCATGTGGATTCTTGTACTTAAAAGTAACTGATATACTACTAATGTTTTTTTTTTTTCTTTTTAAAAATTAGGGCCCAACTGTTCAGATTTGAAGCAGCCTATGTACTTGGGCTTTGAAAAAGATGTATTCAAAACAATAGCAGATTATTATGGTCACTTGAAAGAACCATTGCTTACTTTTCACCTTTTTGATGCCTTTGTCAGTGTATTAGGTAAGTTGGAATATAATGAAAATATATCTACATGATTAATATTTGTTTATTTACTATCTTAGGACTTCTTAATCAAAGCTCATAGCATTTGTTAATTAAAAAACAATGCTCTGCTTAGCATAGCTGAATTTCTGTTCCCTGAAGAAGCAAATGAATAAATAAACAGTTTAAACAAAAATAAATAACAACAGTTAAGCTCTACTTTGGAGAGATTGGAATGGAATATTATCTTCCTATCATGGTATCAGTTATCTTAGTGATCACATATAAATTGCTTGTATAGTTATAGCCAAGAGAATTCCTAGACATTTTCCTTCAAGATAAAGAATTAAATTAATAAAATGCCAATAAAATGCAGCTTATCTTTTTGTGATACTTAAGTGGGTAAGGAGTGTTCTAGACATAAAAGCAAGAAAAGTTATAAAAACATATTTGAGATCTTTCATGCAGAATTGGCATTAACCTTTGTACAAGTGAATCTATTTGCTATTTCCTAAAAATCTCCAGAGTAACTGTTCTTTATGCAGTGTCTTTCTTTAAGCAAGGAGTTCTGGCCAATTGATGTATAGTCAGAATCTCTTTAGCTTAGTATAAGCCTTTTTCCTTTTTTACACTTCTTCCCTATAAAAATGAAAATTTTCTTTTTTTGCCTTGCTTGTTTTATTCTTTTGATTGTTCAAAAACTATAATTGACCCTTTTCAAGTCTTTTTTTTTTTTGTCCAAACAGAAATGTTTCATTAGATTTTCTGGAAACTTCTAGGTACTCCTACAAGTCTTCATACTTCGTATTTTTAAAAGTTTCTAATGAATAGCTTGCTTTTGGCCTTGTATATGTGAGTGATTCAGCTAGGTCTATTTTGCAAAAATGAGAAGCTGTGTACCTAATGGAATTTGAAAACAGAAATCCAATGTCTCGTTGGTGAATGAGAAAGAGGTTGAGGGGTTGTCATCCAGAGTACCTAATTCATGACTGCTTATGCAGTTATCATGGTGAAATGTCACCATGTGTTAGATCTAATAACACTTTATTTATTTATTTAATTAATTTAGTGTTTTAAAATCAGTTGTGGATCTTGAACTCAGGGCCTGGGCATTGTCCCTGAGCTCTTTTGCCCAAGGCTAGTACTCTACAACTTTGAACTACTTTGAGCCACTTTGGGTTTTCTGGTAGTTAATTAGAGATGAGTCTACAGGAACTTTTCAGCCCAGGCTGGCTTTGAACCATGATCTTCAAATCTCAGCCTCCTGAGTAGCTAGGATTACAGGCATAAGCCACCGCCCAGCTATGTCTTATTATTCATAGCAAAATAATTTTGAAATAATTCAGAGAACTTATATTCTTTGTGTTCAGAACTTTAACATCTACTATCAGGTATGTTATAATGTTTTAATAATAATACTATAAGTTTTGCTGTAAATTATATGATACTAGACATATGGATATATAATTAGGTCTATAGAAGAGTCCAGAAGTCTATCTAGCTTTATTCAAGTGATTTTCAACAAAGAAACTAAGAAGGACAGTCTTTTTGATAAGTAATGATAGAACAAGTCACTATCCATATGGAATAAAAAAAACTTTCTATTTATTTCATGAAACTTTATAGTGGAGTGATAATAATCACAGACTAAAACACAAATGAACACTTGTTAGAAGGAAATAAAGGAGAAAATGCTTGGTTTGGCAAAGGTATTTTAGAAAGTATAAACCATAAAATAAAAAATTGGCTATTGAAATGAGAAATCTCTGCTATTTGAAATACACCTTTAAGATAGAGGAGGACTTGTCTTGTGTTGCTACCTGAGAAGTAGACATGGTCCTGCTGCATCTGCAGCTCTGCTTGCCACCCAATAGTATTGGCTCATTTAGTTGAGCCAACTAAATGACAGCCAGCTGCTGTCTCTTACCCACTGGCCCCAGCATTCCTGGGAGGATCTAACCTTGAATAGCAGCAATAGCAAAAGGTACTTACAGTGAAAAGCAAGTAGGACTAGAATGAATATCTTCCTCAGCCTCCCTCCACAAAGACAAGGAAAATAGTCTTCTAGACACTCAACATGAATCACAACAGAACAGACTGAGAGGTTGTTCTCATGACAACTCTTTGCCACAAAAAAATGGGCAGGTCATATTTGATGTTAAGATATAACAACAGTGATTGTGGCTCAGTCAGAAGCTACGGAAAGAGAGAAAGAAACTAAGGTTTTGAAGAAAACTGTAGAATGGTACAGTGCACTGAAAACATTGCCCCAATAAGGTGCACGTGTCCCTCCCTGTGTGTCTCTCCCTGTCTATAAAGATGAGGAAAAATAGAGCCACGAGGGAAAGTATGTATGCTTCTGGGAGAAGTCTCAAGGTGCTCATTCTTTCTTCCTTTCTCATCTTTTGGCTTTGGGACTAAGCATCTCTATTAGAAAATGACTGGGTCCACCTACTGCCAGCACCCACTGAGGGATGGGAAAGCCCCTCTGAGTATGTGGCCACTGCAGTGCATTGTCACTGTAGTGACTGTGAATTTGAGAACTTTAACACCCTATTTTTACATATCCCATTCCAGGAAGTCTCAAATTTAGTATTTATTCAAACTCTATGGAGGCATTTTTTTAAACTTTTTTTCTCTCCCAGCCTGCAAGAGACTAGAATTTTCTAACAGATTTAGGAAAATTGTTTAGAAATTTGCAAGGACTTCTTTTCTACAGTGCAACAAAGAAATTACCATACTGTTGTTTTCTGATAGTATCACCAGAATTAGACCTGTGTCATTCGTGGTAGAAATTGTACTCTAGCCATCTAACTCTGCTCTCTTCTTTTTTTTATAATGAGATCCAGTCAGTTAAGTTTTGTTTTGGTCTTATTTTCCAAGATAAAGCCAAACTCCCCTAAGTTTAAATTTATAGTTATTAGAACAAAAGAAGTAAAACTCAAGAAAAATAAGAATTATTTTTAAATTACAATTAAGTAAATGAAGAAAAACACAAATGAGAGAATGTGTTCTGATTGTATACTTGAAAAAAAAAAGCAAACTCTGATAATAAGAAAGCAAGATGATTTAAAAAATTTAGCAAAAATCTGGACAAATAATTTTCCAGTAAGCACATGTTTATCATTTGGGAAATGCAAATTAAGACCATAATGAAATACTATCCATTCTGTTGCTGTAATATAGTAGCATTTTTTGTTTGTTTTGTCGGTCAGGGGGCCTGAACTCTGGGCCTGAGTGCTGTCCCTCAGCTCTTCAGCTCAAGGCTGGTGCTCTACCACTTGAGCTACAGCCCCACTTCCTTTTGCTGGTGGTTTATTGGAAATAAGAGTTTCATGGCTCTTCCTGCCCTGACTGGCTTTGAACCTTGATCCTTAGATCTCAGCCTCCTGAGTAGCTAGAATTGCAAGTGCGAGATATCAGTGCCCAGCTATTAGTATATTCTTAGTCATGCTTCCTTGGACCTATTAACAGTGTGAGTGTTGAGGGTTAGGGTGGTCCCTGCCGGAAGTTTAGTGGGGAAGAGTGCTGTCTGTGTTGTTAACAAACAGGAGGGGAAAATGGCTATATGAGTTCTTTATTATCTCAGGTTGATGATTTCTATTTTTCTCAACTGATTTTGTGAGTGATAATGGATGTACATTCAATTGGCCAGGTATAGTTCCATATGTGAAAACATTTTACCTAATTTGAATACGTATTTAGTAAAAATGTGAACATATCAAGTAAATATAACACGTGTTTTGGAGATAAAAATTCAGTTTTTGGAATCAGGTTTGTTACAGAAAGAGAAGATGGCGGTTGAAGCCTTTCAGATTTGTTGTCTCCTCCTGCCCCCGGAGAACAGGAGAAAGTTACAGCTGCTCATGAGGATGATGGCAAGGATCTGCCTAAACAAAGAGATGCCACCACTGTGTGATGGCTTTGGCACCCGGACACTGGTAGGAGGAATGTTGACACATTACTGTGGCAAGGTTCTGGAGTGAAGTTCAGCTAAGTCAGAATTTCTTGGTAATCATAGGAAGGTCAAGATGGGCTTGCTTGAAGATTTCACAGCCAGCTGTCTACAGACTGGCATTGGGTTTTTTTTTTTTTTTTTTGGGTCGGTCGTGGGACCTGAACTCTGGGCCTTGGCACTGTCCCTCAGCTCTTCAGCTCAAGGCTAATGCTCTACTACTTGAGCCGCAGCGCCACTTCCGACTTTTTCTGCTTATGTGGTACTGAGGAATCGAACCCAGGACTTCATGCATGCAAGGCAAGCACTCTACCACTGAGCCACCTTCCCAGCCCCGGCATTGGGTTTTTGATCTAGTCATCTTAAAGAATGTAATGGAAAGGGTGAGGAGGAATCCAACTCAGTGTAGGGATGATCTGCTGTGTTCTGTGTCACCTTTACAGCTGATCCTTACTGCCAGCACAGAGTGAATGAAGAGTGGACAGGAAGTATAATGTTGTCTATTAAGAAATCAATATGTTCTCCAACTCCAGAGCACAGAGTATTGCAAAGCCTCTGTGACAATGATATATCATATACAGAGTACCATGTTACAGTGATGTAGCATGTACAATGGATTAAAAAGGCAGAGTGTGCTGAGCATTCTGATATTCACTTGGCAGTCTCAGTATACTGTGAAGCAGGAGGATGGAGAGTTCAAGGCCAGCTTAGATTATACAGCAAGTTTCATGCCAGCCTGAGTTTATGAGATCCTATCTCAAACACCAAATAAACAAATAACACATACATGTCTAAGAAGCAATGATATTTTTTCTTAGTTTTGTTTTTAAAATACCTTCTAATATTGAATCCTATTTGTAGTGTCAGCATATCCCTTTTGTTACATTGATTTTTTTAAAAATAATTAATTTACTAATTAATTTGGCCAATGCTGGGATTTGAATTCAAGGTCTCATGAACTCAAGGTCTCATGCTCTACTACTGGAGCCATGACTAGAGCCTTATTTTCATTCAGTTGGTAGGATTTCCCATTTTTGCCTTGGGCTGGCTTTTCCTCAAACTGCAGTTTTCCTACCTACTGCCTTCCATGTAGCCAGGGTCACAGATATGTGCCACCTAACTTATCAATTGAGGTGAGGTCTTGCTAACTTTTTGTCTTGGCTGGTATTAGATCCTCTACCTTTCCAGTGGCTGGGATTTTAGGCTCAAACCCCTGTATCCAGCTTTCTTTTTATTAAAAAAATCAATAAATCCTTTATGGAATGCAGATATGATATATATAGTAGAAATATTAATTAAAGCACATGTATACCATCTCATCTATTTTTTGTGAGACATTTAAAATCCACTCAACCATTTTGAAAGAGACTGTATTATTAGCTATGATTATGATTGGCGTGCTTTGTATTAACTCACTGAAACATACTCCTTCTCTCTGTCTGGACTTCGTAGCCTTTGATCAACATCATTTCTTTGCTCACCCTCTCCTTCTTGCCTACCACCTGTATACTCTGCTTCTCTCAGCCAGTGTTTTTAAGTAGTCTATGTTTAGAATGCATTTACTAACAAAAATCTCTTCATTTCCCCCCAAAATGTCTTGAAGCACAATTGCTGCTTGAGTGCATATAATGTGTCTTCATGTCCTTGTAAGCCATTGGGCCTCCCTAGGGATCCCTAGCTTTAGAGAAGCATTGGGTCAGATCGGGGCATCGGGGCTAAGTGCACTGATTTTCATCCTTTTAATTTGGTTAGAGGACCGTGGAGAGAGACTAATGGACTCTTTAGAAAAGTTGAAGGAAATATCGTACCTACTTCCTGTAAAAATATATGTCCAAGGCATTCACGGCTCCTGGGAGCACATTATTTCCAGCCAAACCTCTCTGCCTGCCTGTCTTTTTGTATGCTTTACTAGGAGAGAAGGTGAAGTGCATTTTCTGATGAAATGAAATCTTACTAAATAGCATTACATGTCTTTATGCTCATGGATTTTTTGATGCAAAATTGTCAGCAGTAAAATTAGAGGAAAAGGAGAAAGAAGTCAGAAGATAATATGAGAATGAGAGAGTTAATATGAAATTTGGGAAAATGATTCTGTTATTTACATATTTTATATTTCCATAAAGTTTGTAAAATACTTTGAAGTAAAAGTGTTACATGATTCAAGTCCTGGTATAAGAAATCTTACAGTGTGTGTGTGTAAATCTATGTATGTATAAAAATCTAATGTAAAAGAGGGAGTTTAAAATTGCTCAAACATCTCCCGACCAATTCTCTTAAAGGTACACATTTTGTTCTTACTGGTTGATGAAACAACTAGCCTATTGGACATCACCATAGGTGGCTAGTTACCTGGTAGTACATATACCTGTGCATTGGCTATTCACAGTTACTTTTTTTCCCTTCATGTATGTGCCTGTAATGGGGTTCAAATTCAGAGTCTGGGCAGCACCATCCTTTAGCTCGTTTGCACACCCCTACTTCTAGTTTTTGCTGGTTAATGGAAGATAGAGTCTTATGCTTTTCCTGCCCAGGTTAGCTTCAAATCACAATCCTCAGGTCTCAGGCTTCTGAGTAGCTACGATTACCGGTGTGAGCTACTGGCATCTAGCTTCGTATTTGCTTTTTGTACATCAGATTGAACTCAGTTTATGGGTGGGGAAAAAAAGCAACTCATCTGTGTTTACCCCTTCCACCCTTTTTTTTTTTCAGATGGTTCAGACATTTTCCCGGTGCATCTTGTGTTCTAAGGATGAAGTAGACTTGGATGAGTTATTAGCTGCTAGGTTGGTGACATTTCTGATGGACAATTACCAGGAGATTCTGAAAGTCCCTTTGGCTTTGCAGACGTCCATAGAGGAGCGTATGGCTCATCTACGAAGAGTCCAGGTGAAAGATGGGGTGGTATCAGTTCTGCTAAACTGGCAATGGAAAGTCATGCAACTTTGCTAGCTTCTTGGGATATTTGGTCGTAAGAATTAAGTGGGTTAATATTGATTCATTGTAAGTACTACTTTTGTTTGCTGTGATCATTTAAAAATATATAGAATCATACTTAGTTTTCTTATGTCAATCACAACAATGAAATTATAAACCTTATTCACTGGGGAACTTTAGAGACTATAGATTATATACACCAAAAATTAGGATTATACCGAAATGTGCATAGTCCTTATAGTAATTCTAAGTACTTTTATGTGTCTTCCATACCTCCAGCCTACCTTTTACTGCTATGATGGATGAAGTCTCACTTCTTGCCTGGGCACACATTTGAGCTCTGATCTACCTACTTTTAGGCTTCCCTTGTTGTGATAACAGGCATATATCTCTGTGTCTAGCTTCTATGGAGATGGAGTCTCCTGGACTTTTTCTGTCCTTTCATTCTCAGCCTTCTGTGTAGCTTTCGATAGCAAGTGTGCATCCCTATACCCAGGTATGGATTGAGAAGGAGATTTGAGAACTTTTCTGCCTGGACTGGCCTCAAATTATAATCCTCTCATTCTCAGTCTCCTAACTAGCTAGAATGCTAGGTTTAAGCCTCCAGCACCACTCTACAACAATGGTTAATTACTGCCACTGTTATTATCGTTATCATCATCATCATTATCGTCATTATTCTCATTATTACTGTTAGTGTCATCATTGGCAACATAATATTCCATAGTAGAGATCTTTCATAGTTTACTTAATTGATACTAACTGATTGATACTTAGATTGTTTCTGTATTTCTCCCTGTTTGGCAAGCAATATATTAGTAAATATATTTTGTAGTTAGATTTTCTTTTGGCCGACCCACAATTATTTTCCAAGAGTAAATCCCTGGGCTCAGTGTAACTTCATCAAGAGCCAGACATATGTTTTAAATTTTGATGGTATATTGCCAAATTTCCTCTTAGGTTGGATGTTTCAATTTACATTTGTTTCAGTGGCATAAAAGAATGTTTATTTTTTTCACTGTGGCCTGCTTTGAATATTGTCAGCATACATACCCTTGTTATCTTCATCTTCATCTGTGAAAAATACAATCTTACTGTTTTAATTTTTTCCATATATATAAACATATATCTTTTCATATATGTATTTTGGGTGCTGATACTGGAGCTTGAACTTAGGGCCTGGGTGAGGTTCCTTAGCATTTTCTATTCAAGGCTGGCACTCTACAACTTGAGCCACAGCTCTACTTCAGGCTTTCTGATAGTTAATTGGAGATAAGATTGTCATGGACTTTCTTACCCAGGCTGGATTTCAACATTAGACCCTCTGATCTCAGCCTCCTGAGCAGCTAGGAATACAAGTGTGAGCCACCAGTGCCAGGCTTTTTCCGTAGTATTTTTATGAGCCAAACTTTAAAATAGAAATGAAAAATGCTACACAAGCATTTCTGCATGGAAATGTTGTAGTAACTATGTTGCTATGCAGACTTGCTTGGTTTGAGCAGTCCTGTGAGCCTTTTGCTCTCTCTTGAAGACAGAAAGCTGAGCTTTGGTGACTAATTTAACTGCCTATAAACATCATCTTGTGAAGAGGCACTTTGGTGTGCGCTGGATAAAATCAGTAACTACTCAACTGTCCAATTACTTTTTGTTTTTTGGAAATACTTAGAATTGCTCAGCAGTTTTTCCTCTTAGTGCTCAGAGCCCACAGATCTCTGTTACCTTGAATAAACCACTAACTCTGACATCACAGCACTTGTGAGCATTGCTTCTCTGAAGATGCTAGTGTTGTCATATTGGGACAGTTCAAGGCTGAGCCAATGAGGGAGGCAGTGTTTTGATACCAGCCTTCTGTAAGCCTTGTCTGCAGCCCTGAGTGGGTCAGGTTTTTCTCATTCCTGAGATTGGCTATTGCTCTCTACCTAGGCCTTATCCTTTATCCTAGCCATTTCTTTCTCCTGTCGTTTAGATTATGAAAAGAAATACCCTGCAGAGCCCCCTTTCCCTGTGATTCCAGTCTTCTGCTCTGAGGTTATCTCTAAGTGATTTGATAAGCTGATTTTGAAGCATGGATCATGCTTAATATATTCACCCTCCTTACCACCAGGCTTATTTTTAGCTGTGGCCTTTGGCGGGGTAGGAGTTGGGGGATGAATCTTAATCCAAAGTAGTGATTGTAAACGTAGGAATTTTATCCACTAGAGAACAGTAGGGTACTGTATTATTTGATTCTAGAATCTGAAAATAAAAGACATTTTAAATGGATGTCTATTTATCCAAAGGCCTTGGTTTTCATTCTCCTTTTATTTCTCAACCCCTTTGCTGTGCAGTGTCTACACACTTATTATTTTTGCTTGATTCTCATTATTAGCACATGGGGGTAGGTTCTGTTCTTTCTCTACTTATCTCCTGTGAGCTCTGCCCATCACAAGGGAAGGGAGAATCAAGGCTCTTCGTGAGAGGAAGGAGCCTGCGTAAATAATCTGTGTATGTTCAACATTGTATTTGTTTGTATTTTTCTCTGCAAGCATACATTAATTGTACAAGGAGGGTTTCATTGTGACTTTTCCACATGTGTATGTAGCCTGATCCTTCCCTTCCGTTACTCTCTTGATCTCACCCCCACTCCTAAAAACAATTTTCAGTAGGTTGCATTGTCCCAGTGCTTGAACTTGGGTCCTGGATACTTTTCCTGAGCTTTTTGCTCAAGCTTAGCTCTCTACCACTTGAACCATTTGGTGATTAATAGAGATAAGAGTCTCACAGACTTTCCTACTTGGGCTGGTTTTGAACTGTAATCCTCAGATCTCAGCCTCCTGAGTATCTAGAATGACAGGTGTAAGCCACTGGCACCCTCCACTTCTCATTAGTACCTACCTCAACAAAAAAGCATTCTTTATAATTATAGTCAGTATACTTACCTTTAAGATTTAGGTCTCATTAAAGGGGTTATGTAATTTTTTTAAAAAAAGATAAAAAATCTCATCTTTAAATTGTGACTTTTAATTGTTATTAGTTTGAAATTATCGTTAACACTTGTAATTTTCAATATAGTTTTCCTCAAATTGAGGAATGGCATCCAATTCTTTCTAGAAGTCATGATATAGGGATCTAACTAATGTTTGGCTCTTTCCCTTAGATAAAATACCCAGGAGCCGATATGGATATCACGTTATCTGCTCCTTCATTTTGCCGTCAAATCAGTCCTGAAGAATTTGAATATCAGAGAGCATATGGCTCTCAGGAGCCGCTGGCTGCCTTGCTGGAGGAAGTCATAGCTGATGCCAAGCTCTCCAGAAAAGAGAAGAAGAAGAAGCTGAAACAGGTGAGAAGACGTTGCAAGCCATGTTTCCTCCTCCCCAGTATGCTTACATGGTTCCTACCATTTATTCTTTATTTTACTAGGCTTCATGCAAATTTCAGCTTCTGAGACATAACTGGTTTGAAAGTTCATTGTTTGGCTCATTTGTTCAAGAAGTTTTATTGATTTACACAGTTGGGGTCAATTTTCTAGATCTCCATTCTTAGTGTACATCTTTTTACAAAAAATTAATGAACTCTTCATTTATTGAGTGATTCTTTAGTGTTTCTGTTTTGACTTGTGGCATGATGTGAATCAACAATTACTTCAAAGAAGCTAACAACAGGGGCAAATCACTTTTGATTTTTCTTTTCTTTTTTTTTTGGAAGTTAAATCACATTGATTTCACAACATGCAAAATGCCTGGAGTTTAGAAGCCATTGGTTTTAGATAGTCAGTGTCAAATCTGTTTTTCACCTCAGACATCACTAGGTTTTCAGTTCCTTTTATATTAGATAGCACAGCTTAAAGGCTTGAAGAGAAATTGTCAGGAAAGGTGTGCTTTGACATTCTTTTTTTTTTATTGTGAGAATACCATACAGAGGAGTTACAATTACATGCGCAAGATAATGA